TTACTAAATTATTTTGTGCAAGAGAGTGAATATGAAAAATGTGTGTTTTTCATATTAACTCTGGCCAAACTTAGTCGACTTTTAGTATCACAGTCATGGTTTAGAATCCGTGTGTCGTTCGTTCATTTGTTTTTTCAACATAAAACTAAAAATAAGAAAACGAAAAATCAACTGTTTTCTTCATTATTTGTCTCCAAAACTAAAATGAAAATACAGATAATGTTTTTTTTTTTTTCAGTTTTTGATTTTGTGTTTAAATGAAAAATGAAAAAAATGGATAACGGACTAAAACAGGACTGAACCAGGACTAAACCAGGACTAAAACAGGTCTAAACCAGGACTAAAGCAGAACTAAACCAGGACTAAACCAGGACTAAAACAGGACTGAACTAGGACTAAAACAGGACTGAACCAGGACTAAACCAGGATTAAAACAGGACTAAAACAGGACTAAAAAAGGACTAAACCAGGACTAAAGCAGAACTAAACCAGGACTAAAGCAGAACTAAACCAGGACTAAAGCAGAACTAAACCAGGACTGATCTAGGACTAAACCAGGACTAAAACAGGACTGAACCAGGACTAAAACAGGACTAAAACAGGTCTAAACCAGGACTAAAGCAGAACTAAACCAGGACTAAAGCAGAACTAAACCAGGACTAAAGCAGAACTAAACCAGGACTGATCTAGGACTAAACCAGGACTAAAACAGGACTGAACCAGGACTAAACCAGGACTGAACCAGGACTGAACCAGGACTAAAACAGGACTGAACTAGGACTAAAACAGGACTAAAACAGGTCTAAACCAGGACTAAAGCAGAACTAAACCAGGACTAAAACAGGACTGAACCAGGACTAAACCAGGACTGAACCAGGACTAAACCAGGACTGAGTGTCGGGACGGGCCCAGAGGTGCACCGGCGTAGACCGTCGGGTGATCAGGACTGAAACCGGAACCAGACCGGGACTGAGACTGGGACCAGGACCAGGACTGAGACCGATATAGTCCTGGTTCAGTCCTGGTTCAGTCCATTATCCATTTTTTTTTTCCCATTATTCATTTAAACACAAAATCAAAAACTGAAAAAACAAATCATTATCAGTTTGTTTTTTTTCATTTTGGTTTTGGAGACAAATAATGAAGAAAATAGTTGTTTTCTCATTTTCTTAGTTTTGGTTTTATTTTGAAAAACGAATCAACGAATGACACACGGATTCTTTACCCTTTAATATTCACATTTTTCTAGTCTGGATATGAGACTTTGTGTAAATAAATATTCATAATTACAGTATATTTTAGCTCTAACGACGAATCTCTTACACTAAAAATAAAAATGTATCTCAGTCCGGTCCGTAAATCTAATCACGACACCGTTTGCGCTCTTCAGGATTATTCTCGTCCCGACTTACTGAGGAGGGTGAGTTTGGCTCGTCTGGACCTCAGGGCGGCGTCGGGGGCCTGGCACTCGTACTGGGCGTCGTCGGACAGGTCGGCCGACAGGATCTCCAGGTTGTACTGACCCAGCTCCTGCACGCGGAGCACCCGGTATCTGGGCCACGCTGGAACACAAACACAAACACAAACGGACAGGCGTGACGAGGGTGACCTGAAGAAGACCGCAGGATGATGATGTCATAGAAAAGAGGGAGTTTAAAGGTTGTATGGAGGAATTAAAAAGTATTTGACTCAAATAAGAGTAACGTTACTTCAAAATAAAATTTATTTCATATTGTCGACTTAAAACTTTTGTCACTGTATCATCCTCCGCTTTTTATTTCAACATGTTTCTATATGTTAGGATTAGGACTAAACCAGGACTAAACCAGGACTAAACCAGGTCTAAACCAGGACTAAACCAGGTCTAAACCAGGACTAAACCAGGACTAAACCAGGACTAAACCAGGACGAAACCAGGTCTAAACCAGGACTAAACCAGGACTAAACCAGGACTAAACCAGGACTAAAACCAGGTCTAAACCAGGACTAAACCAGGACTAAACCAGGACGAAACCAGGACGAAACCAGGTCTAAACCAGGACTAAACCAGGTCTAAACCAGGTCTAAACCAAGACTAAACCAGGACGAAACCAGGTCTAAACCAGGACTAAACCAGGACTAAACCAGGACTAAACCAGGTCTAAACCAGGACTAAACCAGGACTAAACCAGGACTAAACCAGGTCTAAACCAGGACTAAACCAAGACTAAACCAGGACGAAACCAGGACGAAACCAGGTCTAAACCAGGACTAAACCAGGACTAAACCAGGACTAAACCAGGTCTAAACCAGGACTAAACCAGGTCTAAACCAGGACTAAACCAGGACTAAACCAGGACTAAACCAGGACTAAACCAGGTCTAAACCAAGACTAAACCAGGACGAAACTATTTATTAAATTTTGCCCTTGGTGAGTCAGTTTAGTCACATTGTCTTTGTGTTTAGGACCAAACCAGGACTAAACCGGGTCAAAACCAGGACTAAACCAGGACTAAACCAGGACTAAACCAAGACTGAACCATGAACCAGGTCTAAACTAGTTCTTTGGTAAACAAAACTTCTACTTAAGTAATCGTACCGTTACTTCAGTCAAATATTACTGAACAAAGAGTAAAAACGTGCCACTAGAAGAGGACAAAAGTTACTCAAGTAAATGTAACTGTACTCTACCCGCCTTTGTGTATTAAAGGTTGTATGGAGGATTTTTTTTTTAGTTTCAAATTGTCAATGAAAGTTTAAAATACCATTACAGAGACGCAGCAGCTTTGTAATTACGATGACCAAAAAAAAAAGAATGAAAATCCATCAACTGTGGACGTGTTGAGGCCAGATAAACATCAGCCAATAGAAAACGAGGCTCCCTCTTTTTCTATTGGCTGTTAGGTCGTCAGTCAAACTCCCTACGTTTCTGGCGTAACTGACTCGTTGTCGCGTGGGGATTTCGTGGTGTATGGGGCGGTTCTTAGAGGCTTTTTCAAACTGTAGCTTCGTCGCAATTCGCACAGAGTTTGTCGCGACGGCGGACGAGAATCCGCGACCGGTTCGCCGCCAAAGAAAGTCAGTTTTTTGAGGTCGCTGAAAGAAGAAGAGAAGGAGAAAAGGAGCGAAGACAAACTGAGGTGATTCTTGGAGATTCCTTCCAGCGATGGCGCGACTGAAGCGGACGAAGGGTCTAAAAACTGAAGACGCGTCGGTCGCTAAATTATTTCTAGACGGGAAACTTCAACGGTAATTCTGAACTGGCTGTAAACAAACGTGATTTCTAGAGTAAAGAGACGGGACGAGATGTTTCTACTGAGGAGCTGTGGAGGACATTTGAAAAATTATTTCTCTTCCCTTAAAATATCCTCTATACAACCTTTAAATGGATTATACATTTGATCTTTGATTCACACTATTAGTATTTGCAAAAATTCAGCAAAAAAAAAGCAGCAGCAGTGACTCAGAACCCAGGAGAAAGGTGTAACTATTCCCTAAGTGTCTGGTGTTTCTGAAAACTACAGAGGATTTTCAGACAACATGAAATTTTGAAAGTGTTTTTCAAACTTACAAACACTTTAAGACAGAAACTGGTCGACTCAAAGGGCAAAACAACGAGCCACAAACAAAACAATGTGGTTTACTCCATTCAGCGCAGTGAAGACTAAACAGAACCACCATTTCACAAGAGAATTTACCAAAACAGACGAGAGAGCAACACAGGACCACAGTCTCATGTATAAATGTCTCGGGACACTCTTTTGAGGACAATGAGGTACAGATCTGAGTCAGAGAAAAGAATTGGTTTGAAAGGAGAGTTAAAGAATCTATTTTTGTTAGGAAAGACAATCCATCTTTAAACTAGAGCCCTGCAGGACCCGACGCAAAACAGTGCGGCGCGGTTTTGTAAGTAAAAGTCAAAGTAAAATATACAAATGATGAATGTAAGCGTATCATATTTGTGCTGGATATTTCATTCGGCATTGATAAAAACATTTTAAGCAGATATGGTCTAATCTCGTGCATATTTTATTCCTCAAACCCCGGGCTGGGGACCGAAAGTGAGAACCTCCACTTCCATACGCCTCATGGACTGTCCCACCGTCCCCCCCTTCCCCTGCACTGCACAGACCGTTACCTATAGAACTAAACCAGAACTAAACCAGAACTAAACCAGAACTAAACCAGAACTAAACCAGAAAACTAAACAGAACTAAACCAGAACTAAACAGAACTAAACCAGAACTATACCAGAACTAAACCAAACTAAACCAGAACTAACCAGAACTAAACCAGAACTAAAACCAGAAACTAAACCAGAACTAAAACCAGAACTAAACCAGAAATAACAGAACTAAACAGAACTAACCAGAACTAAACCAGAACTAAACCAGAACTAATACCAGAACTAAACCAGAACTAAACCAGAACTAACCAAACTAAACCAGAACTAAACCAGACTAAACCAGAACTACTAAACCAGAACTATACCAGAACTAAACCAGAACTAAACCAGAACTAACCAGAAACCAGAACTAAACCAGAAACTAAACCAGAACTAAACCAGAACTAAAAAGAACTAAACAAGAACTAAAGCAGAACTAAACCAGAACTAAACAGAACTAACCACTATACCAGAACTAAAACCAGAACTAAACCAGAACTAAACCAAAACTAACCAGACTAAACCAGAACTAACAGAACTATACCAGAACTAAACCAAAACTAAACAGAACTAAACCAGAACTAAACAGAACTAAACCAGGTCTAAACAGGTCTAAACCAGAACTAAACCAGAACTAAACCAACTAAACCAGAACTAAACTAAACCGAACAAAACCAGAACTAAACCAGAACTAAACCAGAACTAAACAAAAAGACTAAACCAGAAACCAAAAAACCAGAACTAAACCAGAACTAAACCAGAACTAAACCAGAACTAAACCAGGCTAAAACTAAAAAGCTAAACCATGTCTAAACCAGACTAAACCAGGACTAACCAGGTCTAAACCAGCTAAACCAGGACTAAACCAGGAAACCAGGTCTAAACCTAAACCAGAGACTAAACCAGTCTAAACCAGGTCTAAACCAGGTCTAAACCTAACCAGGACTAAACCAGGTCTAAACCAGGACTAAATGTCTAAACCAGGACTAAACCAGGACTAAACCAGGAAACCAGGTCTAAACCAGGACTAATCCAATGTCTAAACCAGGACTAAAACCAGGACTAAACCAGGTCTAAACCAGGTCTAAACCAGGCCTAAATGGACTAAACCAGGACTAAACCCAGGACTAAACCAGGTAAACCAGGTAAACCAGGAAACTAAACCAGGACTAAACCAGGACTCCAGGTGTCTAAACCAGGACTAAACCAGGACTAAACCAGGACTAAAACCAGGACTAAACCAGGTCTAAACCAGGTCTAAACCAGGACTAAACCAGGTCTAAACCAGGACTAAAACCAGGTCTAAACCAGGACTAAACCAGGACTAAACCATACCAGGTCTAAACCAGGTCTAAAAAAACCAGGACTAAACCATAAACCAGGGTCTAAACCAGGAAACCAGGACTCTAAACCAGGTCTAAACCAGGAAAACCAGGTTAATCTAAACCAGTTAAACCAGGTTAAANCGATGCAGACTCTTTGTGTCGTGACGCAGACGATTTGACACTGGACCGTAAATTGGCCTTAATTGTTGCTGTGAGCCTTGTCATTTTGTTCTTAAAATGTTCATATTAACCCACTTTACATGATTCTGGTGTTTATATTCGCTATTTTGTCCGTAAATAAATTCCTATTCCTAATATCGAAATGGCTCCATATTCTCTGCTGTATCTGTTAGCCTCCATGAGCTTCATTTGACTGGAGCTGAACGCCACACTCGCATAGGCGACGTTCAAACTGCAGGGCTTAATGCTCAATTTGGATTTTTCAGTGAAATATATATATATATATATATATATTTTTGCGAGGTTGTTCACATATCCAATTAAATGTGACTTGTATGGGATCTCCAGTGTGAACTTTAAATGCCCCAAAAGTGTCCCAAATGCACATTGGAGGACACAACAAGGTCATATACGCAGCAAGTGTGCTCAGTGTTTATGGAAGTCGCCTAAACGCTGGGCTTGCCTCCCAAAAATATGGTCCAGTTCTTCGTAAAATGCACATGTTACACATCCACGGCCGCTTTGTTTGTTTGAGTCTTTAGCCTCCTTGTGTTTGGCTCACAGGCTTCTTATTTTTTGCTGACACTGGTTCCGATAAGACCCCTCCAATTTGACCTGAATACAGTGATCCCCCCTGACTCTGAGCCTGACGTGTTAGGTGGGATGAATGTGACCTGGCCGTTTCAGACTGAAGTCGCATGTCAAAAGATCAGATATGTATCGGTTTTAGGAGCACATATCCAAGTGGCCTGGGTCGCATTTGAAAAAGTCGCGTTAAAAGATCAGATACAGATCTCATAGGGGCGAAAAAATTTTTTTATTTGGGTCACTTCAGGCTGCAGTCTGAACGTAGCCTAAGTCCTCTTCTTATACAGTATGGGTGAGATTAACAAGGCAAGTTACAGATCAGATC